CTCGTCTCGTGGTGGATACCTCGTTCCGTCAGGTAGCCTTCCACTTCGTCGCCAATGAACTCACTCCCGTTGTCAGACCGCATGGTCTTAAGCTTGGCGCCCGATTGCCGCTCGAGCCATGGTAGGTACTCCTTCATGGCGGCGAACGTGTCGCTCTTCTTGCGGAGGAACTTGACCCAGACGTAGTTCGTGGCGTCCTCCGTGAAGGATAAAAATACTTGGCGCAGTTGGGTGACTCGACCTTTGCTGGTCCCCAGAGATCTGTGTGAACGCACATGCCGAGCTGGTGACGCGGGCAATCGCCTTCCTTGGGCGGCGACGTGTGTGTTTTCTTGCCGCGGATGCAGTCTTCGCACGACAGGCTGTCCGGTAACCTTAGGTTGGTAGGTCCTCCCTTCGTGGCCTTGATCATTGCTGACATCGAGTTCCAGGGGACATGGCCGCAGCGGGTATGCCACAGCATCGGTTCGGCGACCTCGGCTGAGTTCGCTTGGTCTGCCGCTGGCCTTGGCTTGAAGACGTCCCCGTGCACCGCGTACAAGCGCGCCGCGTTCCACTTGCCGGCGATCGACAGGTGTGTCCTCGATCGGATGTTACAGTAATCTTTCTTGAATGGAATGGACGCGCATCTGCACTGCCGGTGATCCGGCTGATGGAGATGAGCGTCTTGGTCAGGCTCGGGACGAGCAGCACGTTGCGAAAGACAACTGTACGTCCCGTGTCCCTCGATTTCATTCTCACGTCCCCCGTCGTAGTGACAGAGATCGGGTGGCCGTCCGCGAGTCGGACGCCGCGCTTGCACGCGATCGCATCGTGGAGGATGGTTTCGTCCCCCGTCATGTGGCACGTGCACCGCTGTCCACAATCACTTCGGCTTTGGATGAGAGGACGTTGTTGCATTCATCGTCGTCGTCGCTCAACATTGTTGCATAGTTGGCCAGGTCGGCCGTCACTTCGTCGATCTCATCTTCGAGTTCCATTGGACCACCGCTTTTGTCCCCGTCCGTCTCGTGACGGTAGGTTTTCATGTCGCCATCGGCTTGAGCGATGCTTATCTCTTGGACCATAAATAGGTCTTCGTCGTCGTCATCCTTGACGTAGTTGCTGTCGTCATGTCGCCCCCATCCGCTACGTCCGCGTCCACGGCCGCCGCCACGACCGCCGTTTGTCCTTGGGGGTTGGCGCACGTTTTGGCGGTCAATTCCTTTCTCTCTGTCGGCGGAACGTCGGCGGCAGTCTGCCTTGTAGTGGCCGGTCTTCCCGCAGTAATGGCAGTCGTCCGGGCCGACGTTGAGGGCGTCGTCCATTGTATTCGCTCGCTTGGCCAAAATTAGGGTCGTGTAGCTTTTGACGCTCGTCGTCTAATTTAAGCTCGGAAAGAATCGGCGGCATCGGGTCGTATGCCGTGGTGGTACGTCGCTCGCGTGTGATGTACATTACTGTGTTGGCGAATCTCGGTGGTAGGAGACACAGGAAACGGGTTAAGTGCGCCTTGTCCGCCGTCGTGTCACCGGCCGCCGAGAGCTTGCGCATGAACTCTTGGAACTGGTCGGCGAACGCTTCCAGCCCCGTGCGCTCAATCCATTCCAGCTTGCTCATTTGAAGTTGGAGGGTAACGAGGTTGACCTCGGACGCGCTCTCGTAGATGGCCTTGAGAGATTCCCATGTCTCATGGGTTGTAGCCGTGTCCTTGACGAATTGGAGATGGTCCGCGTGTATGCCTAGTTGAATGTAGGATAAAGCAACTAGGTCGTCTTCTTCATTTGACCCATTCGAGTATGTTCCGTCTGCAAAGCGGACCTTCTTGAGGTACTTACCCAGCTTTTGCTGGTTGATCTTGGCCCGCGTCTTGACGCACCATTCACGGTAGTTGCTACCGTCGAGCTTGAGCCTGGTCGTTGAGTCGGAGAGGTACTTTTCGGCCATTGGGCTCATAACCTGTTGAATTCCTCCAGGTTATGTGTGTGACGAACTCAAAGGTTTAGAGCGCTTTCTCTCTTGGCTCTTATTTTGGAAGTGACTAACTTACGTGTCCATGCGATCTTCCTGCGATCTTTCCGGTACTGTAGTGCTAACCGGTTTTGTCTTCCGAATGTATGTAACATGTAACCGCCTCATGGGCTGAAACCACAACAGTACTCACACAGGCACAGTACAGCTGTTCCTCCTAATGGGAACTGATAAGGTGATACGGCGCATTACACTAAACGATACGTGCTTAGTGCCCAATGCCACGTCCAATATTATAAGCGATAATGCGCTGAAACGCCAAGGCTACCACATAATAGATGGTCTTAGTGGCCCATACAAATTCGTCTTTAAGGAAGGGCATCTGATGTTCACCGCAATAGCTGTGAACGGAACATATTATATTCGTCACCACAACCTCAAACAAAGGCAGGTATTCTGTCACACTGCAAAGTGTACACATGTAACACCAACAGTGCATGTCTCAGCATCTCGTGCTGAGTCATTGCTTAGAGAATGGCATATAAGGACCGGTCATATGGGCCGTGAAGCTGTGATTACCATGCTAAGCAGTGGTCTTGTCAAAGGACTACCTAAGCTGCAAAGTAGTATGCTCAATAGCATCCCTTTCTTCTGTAAGGTCTGCGCTACAATGAAAATGCGCCGAATGTCCTACCGAAATGCTCGAGGCTCTCGAGAAATTGGAACTGTCCATATGGACACAAATGGACCAATGAAAGTGAAGGGAGTATACTCCGGTAAACTCGGCATGAAATATTACGTGAATATTGTTGAAGATGCCACGTCATGGCGATGGTGTTTCATACTCAAGAAAAAGAGCCAGGTGTTTGAAAACATTCGAAACCTTGTTCAAAACTTGGACAGGAAAGGCGCCATCAAGATTCGAGTTATTCGAAGTGATGGTGGCACTGAATTCGTCAATAAAGAATTAGATGACTTCTGCAAGTTAAAGGGTATAACCTATCAAAAGTCTATACCGTATTCACCAGAAGAAAATGGTGCCGCTGAGAGAGA